TAATTCATTAATTTTTATTTTTAAAATTTTTATTTTGTTTGTGTCACTGGCTTTTCATTTGTTTGATCGATTGGTTTTGCTGTGAAAACTGAAATGAAATGAGAAAAACAAATATAAATTAAACTAAATTAATGAGTAATTGTGTCCACAAATGATTACTTTGTATTTTTCATTTGTTCATAAAATAAAAGTTTAATTGCATTCAAATTAAATGCAATTAATTTTGTTTTATAAAACAACTATTTATTTGCTTTTACAAATGAATTGAAAAATCTACCATTAATTTTTAAAAGTGATAAATATTTTATGTTTTGTAACGTTAGTCTTATATTAATATTATTGGATACCTTTTAATTGTAATTAATAACTAATTTTATTACTTTATAATTATGTTAAGTTTGTTAAAACGCTCATCGGAATGGGTCCGGGATCAGGCGCCTGGTCTACGGTTCCTATCGTGCAATACAGTTGAAGCACCCATTGATTATGCATGTATGCCATCATTTTGCACATTTAAATCGCGTTTACATTCAATTTTCAATTATTTTCTCGTTTAAATCAAACAACTATTAAACTCAAAATACATTTTTATTAAAACTTTTAAAAATCTAATAGAAATTCAATAACAATTTAAATAAATTTTTAATAAAACACTAAAAATACAATTGATTTTGTTATCCATTAGTTAACGCGGAATCCATTAAAGAAAATTTGAATTCAGACCAAAGCAGTATTGATAGTCGCAAAATGTTTTACCTCAAGCATAACCACACGGCCACCACACCCACCAGTCCTACCACTACCACCACAGCCACCGCCGGTGCTATTCCCGGGCCATCGGCTCCCGAGAAGACCAACTTATCGTCGATTACCAACGAGTTTTCATTGAAGTTTCTACGGCTGGCTGTGGCCCGACCTCAAGAGTCCTGTCCTGAGGCACACTTTCCGCCCAATCGGGAGTCTGTGATATTAAACTGGTATGTGATGTGCGGATGACATGTATGCAAATGTTATGGGAAATTGTCAATTTCAAATTGAAATGTCATTCATGAAACTATTTCAGTGATATTTATTTCATTTAGAGCTTACGATAGCGTAGGGACTGTTGTTTTAGTTGTTGTGATTATTGTTTTTACAGATCGCCAACACTTTTTCCCAACTATACTGTACTCTTAAGACATGGATTCACTCCATGATAGCTATTGTTTTCTGTCTCTCACTCGTTGTAAAAAGTTTTCATTTCATTTATTCATTCATAGAAAACAATTAATTTTATGATTTCTTTGTCGACTCAATTCACTGCACATACAGTTTATATCCGTCACAATCAATCATCTCTCTCTCTCTCTCTCTCTCTCTCTCTCTCTCCAAAACGTTATATATTAGATTCATATGAATTGATAAAATACTTATATCCCATTGAAATTGCACGACAAGTCTATTGAATACATGAAAAGTGCAAAACATCTCCAGATGTATAACAATACACACAAAAAGAGTAGCATTTATTACACACACAATAGGATTTATTCATATGGAGACCACTGTTTGTGTTTAATTGATTTATTATTTAATTTTTATTTTGTTGGGATTTTTGATATTTTAATTAATCATGCATTATTCGTTTACATACTAAATATTTGCATTTGAATATTTATTTTACAATAAATTAGCAAGATTTTTGTGCCAACCAAACTGCCCAATGCGCTCAATACAAACGCACCCGACTATGAGAGTGTGGCCGCCAGTAAACGCAAGATCGAGGCCTGGCTTATGGCTACCGGTATGTTGTCATCCCTTAACCATGCATTTTGAGCACATATTTTATAAATTGCTGTTTTGTTACATAATATAAACTATTAGATAATCAACAAAACAATGAGGAATATATTAGTAATTAAATTAAAATGCATTTAAATTGCCCGTCGATTACCGGCACTCCTCTATGAAATATAACACACGGTATAAATTTGTATCGTATTTAAGATATAATTTAATTTAAATGCCATATACAGAGCCTTTTGATTCAATTTTTATCTAGGTTAACGCAAATACCCACTATATATGTATGTAATTATTTATATACAATTTATAGTTATCGTATATTTACTTGTATTTTTGATTTAATTTAAATTTAATGCACAATATTTGGTTAATGTGATTAAGTGATTAAATTCAATGACCAAACCAAATTATTTAGCCAAATATATCAAGGTCAGTTTATTAAAACATGATGTTTGGCTCCAACATGTTTTATTGATTTCCTACACATTACTAGAGTCTCTATTTTTCGGGAACTCCCGAATAAATTTAGTGTATAAAAACATCGGGAATTACATACCGTTAGGCATATGGGCTAAAATAGGACCAATATATATAGTTTTTATGTTCCCGATTTTTCCCGATTTTCGCATATTTTGAGAAAATCCCGAATAGTACCGAAAACTCCGAAAAGTCCCGAATGCTCCCGATTATGAGAAAAATAGTCCTGAAAACGCACTTTTGCCACGAAAAACCCCTATAATCATCGTTTTTTCTTCAAATATTTTAATGAAATGCTAAATAAATACCAAAAACTGTTATAAAGTTCAAATAATGTGTGATAAAGAAAGTATATGAAAGTTAAACTCAAAATATGTGACAATCCATTTCATGCTATTTTAAAATTATATTTATCTCCGTCGAATGCGCGCGTTCTTTTTCTCAATTTAAGAATATTATTACAGATAGAAAGCATAAATTTACAAAAGAGAATCTCAAATTTCATGTTATTATCAAATATAATTCATTTTTAAATGCATAATTATTGTTTTAATGTCAAAATAAAGTAAATTTTAACTCCCGATTTTTCCCGAATTTGACTGTTTTATGTT